CAGGACACCCTGACCCCTCTCTAAATCCGCCACTAACCGTGGCGTTATACACTTTAATCGGTTTAAGGGGTATGTTTCGGTGTAATGCGATATATTTTCTCTCTGAATGTGTGTAAAATAATATACACTGCCACCATTGAGCGATATATGCCTCGATTACCTTTGGCACTGGCGCTCGAAGTGTTCTTGCCTTTATCGCTCGGAGTTAATGTGTCACAGACCCAGTGTCACACGTACGGATACTGATAACATAGTACTCACATTTCATCGAAAAAAAAACCCCTAAAGGCGTACAAAGCGAAAAAAAGCCTAAAGGCGAACAAAGCGTATAACGCCACAGTCACATGACACCTGTAGATATGTAACATACGTATGTACATGCATTTCCACATGCCCCCCAGGCTGTCCAGCGGCAAGTATACACCACTTGGAGCTGTGAAGGGAAACCGTAACGAATGGCTTCGGGCTCAGTTCTCGCTCGACTTCCTGTTCAGTCCCATGACATTTCGGGTAAGGCTTTTAAGTCTAGAGAGATGTCTTAAGCTTTGAATTTGCTATTTGAGCATGTATATAATTATGCCTTGCTGTTTATCTTGTGTTTTTGTGATGAAATACTTGCAATATTGGGCGACAGTCTTATTTGGCAGTTGGCTCCTTATAATGAATCTTCTGAAAATGGCGTCTTTATAGAGAGTCACATGTACGTAACAGACAATTAAAAGATTTTGATGCCATTATTATCCTTGGCAATAAAACGCGTAGCCCACCAAATGCAATTATATTACAACAATATTTGTTTTTATTAGTTTTTAATTAGCTCTTTATGCTCAATCTAAAATTTTCAATTACCGGTACGATGTTGTTCCAACAGCTTCCCGAGGAGAGCAATATTATCCTTTTAAGTATTACGATATTATATGCTACCGTAAGGATAATTTGCCATGGCGGGTGACACATCTAAGTTACTAAATAAGACCGATCTTTTATGCTTATATATACTTTTAATGTCAAACACACTTCTTCCACAGCCTATACATGTACATCAACAACAATAGTTTTGACGAACTACATTGTACTCTTTCCTGATTTCAGTTTTATGTAGAAACAACGACCGGTGTGCTATACCCCTATAATGTAGCTGTGGATAATTTGGAGGTCCGAGAAGGAGCCTGCAAGTAAAAATGATAACATTTAAAATGCAGAGAACATGACGGCCTTTGGGAAAACAGCTATTACATGATACCATGAAATTCACTGTGAATATGATCGGCTTCGGAAGGATATTCAGCTAAATATCAGGATATTTCTTTTTTCCTATTTTGATTGGGAAATGAAAACTTACACAGCTTGAAAAAAATTTAGTAGTATACCTAACATTTTGTTTTTTAACTAAGAAACTGTCTCGATAATCCAGGTGATTTACCAATTTATGCAAAATAAAGGCACGTTGCGTATGCTATTTTCCTAGGTCTGTGTCTTTTGTTAACATCTATAAATATATAAGTATATAAAAGAATGGTTTCAGTAGCGGTGGGAAAACCGTTAAAACATTAAAGACCGCTGGAAAAAAGCTAAGGGTCCTTGAAACAGAATCCGCATTTCATTAGATTCATACTGGTTAGGGTAAGCGTGACGTAAGCTCCCTGTATAAAGTAAACGTGTCTCAAACGTGTCTCAAGGGGACTCTCTTACTCGGCACAATTTCAGGTATACTGCTCTGTGGAAGGTCCTTTTTTTAACACTAGCTGGTACCAGTAACTACTGTGTATTCCTATACGTCAAAATTTGTGTGTTTCCTCCTCGGTGATTTGGTCCGACAACACCAACACTTGGTGGACTGACCTTCGATAGCTCATTGATAAATGTTACGGTCCATGAATTTGTTACCATTACGATTACGATGTGTCGTCATTAATCCTGTAAAGATAGTCCATTGAGTAATTGTGCGCCGCCATTATTGCATACCTCTGAGCTCGCGCTGGAGCACCCTCGAATAGGCAGCGAAAAAAAACGCAGATATACAAGTATAGACGATGGGCAATACTGTTTGACCATGTCAAAAAATTTACAGGCGAAATTGTCTCTCGAAATTTCGGGCCACATTATCCTACTTATCCTTCTTGTTAAACAATTAAACGATTCTATGCTGACATATATTATTACTGTTGTATTGATTGTTAGAAGTATATAATTATCCAGGCGCGAAAAATCTAACAATGTTTTTGCTAAAAGAAATTGAAAGAGGCTAACAAAATATGCATTTTACTGTTTTCCAAATTTGGTAAATTTTGCGTATCTGTGGTGGGGAGACTGCACTCTATTTTCAAAGGGAGTTTCCAGTCCCTTGAACATCACATTTTAGATGTTTATAATTTTCTACAGTGATACGTATAGTATGTATACATAATTCAGTAATCGACTCACTGTCTGCTGGTGGTCAACAGATGATCATTTATAATAATTTATTCAGCTTTTGTTCATGTAAAATTACCATATTGTTTGCTGTGAATGCTTTATCTTATACCTCTGTTTGTTTTCAAAAAGTAATAAATATATAGCAAATAAATATAGCTTAATATCAAAATAGTCAAGTAGAAAGTGTGAACGATACTTTCCCTTTGTGTTGCTAGTAAATGTATATAATTCTTCTCACACGATGTCCACAGAATCCCGTTTATGATGATGCTCATATCAGTCATCAATACAGAACAAATCCTTTTAAAGTGCTACTTTGTTGGACACACAAGAAGTTAATAATCCAGTATAAACAGGCCCGTAGCCAGCAATTTCAAAAGGGGGGTTCTTTTTCTGAAAAAGTGGACCCTTTTCCATAAATACTTCATGAACCTTCATCAAATTTTACCCAAAGTAGACCTTTTCCCACCAAAAGGGGCGGTTCTTTCGAACCCTCCGAACCCCCCCTGGCTACGGGCCTGATAAATCACAGTTGGTTTTCTTTATTTTTCTTTAACCATGAGTTCAGTGTCTTTTTGTCATGTTGCAGCTGACCTTTTAATTTTTTAATCAAATCTGCTCTCACATTATATCTGGTGCCCGCTGCCATGGTATGTATAACCCTTATGTTGGCAATTTTCTTAGATCTATTCGGTTTATAAACCGCTGTTATCCAATTGTCGGCAAACCAGCCTGTAAAAACAGCAGGGTAATGAAACCCAAATATGTCAATATGTGTCCTGTGAACGAAATCGTACGTCAAAATTTGTGAGTTTCCTCCTCGATGATTTGGTCCGACAACGCCAACATTTGGTGGACTGAACTTGGAGAGTTCAGCGAT